GTCGTTTGTGCAATAGTCCAGTCAATAATAGTGTCTTGTTGAAATATGCATTAAAGAGTCCATAACATTAGTGCAATGGATACACTCCAACACACCCCTCTGGTCTGGCTTCCACATACAGGTTTAAAATAACTGTCTTAATTAGATCCTAGTATTAACTAGTATTATTAAACTTAGTATTATTAAACTTAAATGAGGACAGAAGCTTCAGCTGAAAGCTGCTTCCACCCAAATCCCTCTCCCCTAGTCTGCACACATCAGACTGTTCTGGAACATTTTCATTCTCCATCTTGATTCCACTGACTGCTCTTTTCTAACCGTTTAGCAACAAATGATGCTTCCCCCCCCCCCCCTTAAGAAAAAGGTTTCAAATCAGTCAGAGAAAACAAGGAATTACCTTGCTTAGGTTTGAGTCACAATAATCTTGATTACTGCTCTGGCATTTCTTCGATCAAAGCACCAGGAAACTAATGAGACAACCTACAATACAGTAGATTAACTTGGTCACTTCCCTCTTTTTTCTTGTTGTTGATCTTGTCCTAATGAGCTGTTACAGAGGAGTCCACACAGAAGTCTATTGATAAAGGTCACTGTAAATCTTCTCCATTCATTAACAACCAAGAAGCTATTCTGGGCTGTTGAAGCAACATCCAAACATCCCTTCTCAAGCTGTCCCATTACAGTCATCCCTGTAAAGCAGATGTATGTACAAACTCCTGGCAAAGCAGCCTCATTTAGATCAGTCAGGATCTTCCTTACACAGTAATAAAGACCAAGCAGAGACTTGTGCCTGCATTGTTCTATTAAGTTTCCTCTTTCGTTTCCATATCACAGCACGCTCAGTCAAAGCTATTTTGGTGCTTCACTGATCAAACTGATTTTTCCCTTTGATGATAATATGAAATATGATAGGATAATAGGGTTGTTATATAATCAAAGTCGACAGCAGGGAGCTAAATTTGTGTTGTTTTGATGAAGAGCACATTAGTGTGACATAAATAGATTAATCTGATTTATTATTATTATTTCTAATGCTTAATAATAGGGAAGGGTAGAGGAAATGAGACTCTGGGGAATGAGAGTGCATAACAAAGTGATAGCAGACGTTAGGATGTCTTGTCACAAGCAGCACCACTACTACCCACTTTAGCTGAATTTCAAAAGAGTGAGTAGAGAGCAAGAGAGGTTGTTGTGAAAGACATAATGTCTTAAGTGGAATAAAACTCCTAATGTACCAGAGAAAATGTTCTCTGGAAAGTAGTATTTTGGGAAGAAAACTGGTGTTCATGTGAAGAAAGGCTAAGAAAGTTCGGGCTGTTCAGCCTGGAGAAAAGAAGCTGCATGGAGATCTCAGAGCAACTTCCAGTACCTGAAGGGGAGCTACAAAGATACCAGAGAGGGACCCTTCATCAGGGACTGTAGATATAGGACAAGGGGTGATGGGTTCAAACTGAAACAGGGGAAGTTCAGGTTAGATATAAGGAAGAAGTTCTTCCCTGTGAGGGTGCTGAGGCACTGGCACAGGCTGCCCAGAGAAGTGGTAAATGCTCCATCCCTGGCAGTGTTCAAGGCCAGGTTGGACAGAGACTTGGGCAACATGGTCTAGTGTGAGGTGTCCCTGCCCACGGCAGAAGGGTTGGAACTGGATGATCTTAAGGTCCTTTCCAACCCAAACCATTCTGTGATTCTAAGATTCTATGTAGGGCAACAAGAAGTCAGAGATAGAGCAGACAAAAATCAGCTCACCTTTCACTGATTGATTTTTCATGTGTAATTGAAAAGCTGGAATTAACCTTGGACAAAGGCTTCCCTTTCACTGTCTGCTCCAGTTCCAGACAGCCCAAGTCATTATTCACATATCAGCCAAGAGCCACGAAAAGACAAAAGAGAGAGGCATATTTCACCTGGTGTACTGATGTGTACGTTATAGTTCTTTGTGCCTGAGCAAAGTCCTGCAAGAGCTCATGCAAATGTCCAGATGTGTGCAGTCTTGCACAGGAAATATCTTCCCATTTTAAAATCTCATGTGTAACAAAAATACAGATTGGACAGAATTGTGGGTTCTTCAAGGAGCAAATAAAAAGAAACATATTTTAAAATCCTGAGGAATGCAGATACATCTTAGCAAAACACTGTCCCACATACACAGTCATACAGACATCTACTCTGGCTCCTTCATATCAACATACATGGATTTCTTCAACAATATCTGTAAACTTCAACTAAACTAAAGCAGACCTTGCATAAGGCCATTGTGTTTTAATGTAAAGACTCTAAGTAGCAGATGACCCATGACATGCTGAGGTGAGTTTCTTCCTTAGTTAAACACCCCATGTATTAAAATTTACTCTTCATTTATGGTTCCAGAGGGAAGATTATAGTAGTAAATAGTAAACCAGCTAGAGTATGTAACAGCTTTGAATTTCTGGAGTTCAACATGATCTCTAGGACATTTAGAGACAATTTTCCTCTTGAAGGACAAAAGGAAAAAGGTAAACAATGTTTTATAAAATATAACTGTTGGTTTGGATGGGTTTTTTTTCCCACAAAACTGTTTAAACTTTGCTAAAAGTCCCGTTAGACAAGTTCTTCTTTGCTAGGCAAACAGAATTTCACTCAAGTTCTGCAAAACCCCAAACTTCTGCTTTTCTCCAGTGTCAGATACAGCCAGCAGCTGTACATGATATTGATGTGTATATTCCAGGCATACTTTTTCTTATCTCCTTAGCAGGAACAGAAATCTACATTGACTGGCACTTCAATTTGGACAGCACTATATGAACCCCACGGGCCACTCTGACAGAAACCAGCTGCTGGGTGGTAATCACTGAGTTGGTTTAACACATCCTGAAACTGCTTTTCCAAGTATGCTTGCTTCAATACTTCTGCCATCAGCCTTAGGACATGGTGCCAGCAGTAGAGCATTAATGCACCCAGCATTCTCTCCTACTGTGTTGAGGGATGTTATCCCCACATGTTAGGCTGAAGAAGTCATTCCTCACCCGTCCTCATTAAGAATCCTAAACTATTTCTTCACTAATCTTACTGGAGGTTTTCACACCACAGCAATGTATAATCCCAAAGGAAGCTGTATAGGGGAGTCAAAGTCATGGATACTTACTTTTCATCTACTTGTTGAAGCACAGATATGGATATTAGAACATGAACGTATTTGATATACCAAGTAATTTAAAGCCAGGGAGAAGAGAATAGAGGAGGAACAACATTCCCTACTTCTCCCTATTAATGCTCTTTACAGAAGCCTCTTTGAAAGGGTATCAAGATCCATCAGCACACAGAGCTCAGAGCTGGGGCTTGTATGAAAACATAGCATCTAGTTTTAAGCGAAAAAAAAAGGGATTATTGCTTTTACGCTGAGAGCACAAAATGGTAGAATCAGCAGGAGGTGATTAGTGCCAAAAAAAGATGGGGTTTTATGGCAAATTAACACGAAAGGCGGTTTGAAAGATAGGATTAAATCAGAGACAAAGGTGGAGGTTTAGAAAACTCCCAGCCCTACCCCTGTCAAATCAAAGATAAATCTCCCAAAGCACTAAATCCCATGTAATCATTGCAAATTCCTATTGTCTTAAAAGGGAGCTGGATTAGGCCTCTAATTCAGTCTGTAAAGTCTGTTTGGTCCAGATGAACAGCTGAGAGATGGACAATCTCCAAGGAACAACTCTATGACATGGTCTCAACATCTTCCACTACAACTTTTCTACGCAATCACTCCCAACATTACCCTCCAAACACTGGAGTAAAACTGCTTTTGCCCATTACTGCTAAATGCATTTTGCCTTTCTGCCTAGCAAAAAAGCAGTATCACATCTTATCTCACAAGTTCCCAGTGAGCCAAACACAAGATACTGTCCCTTGAATTCTTCCTGAGACCAACAAAGGCTTTCCATTATTTACAAATCAAAAGCATTTAGAGACAATCATCTTTATTTTTTTATTTAAAACAAGGAAATGCCCTGTCACTATTATATAAGAAAAAATATACATCCACCTATTTATACCCATCCTAATCCAAGCATTCAAAAAAAAAAAAAAAATCCTATTCATGCAGGTAATTGCTGCACAAAATAATAATAATAATTTTATAAATAAAATTAAAATAACAAAATACACTCTTTGATTCCAACAATTCTCCCAATTTCTCTTAAAAATTGTTGGAACGATTGAAAATGATAAAAGGAAATCTAGTTAAATCAACAGGATTATTTGCTTTTGATTATTAATTCCGTTGCTAGTTTTTCTTGTGTTTTTATTATGCATACCAGTTTTACAAAGTGCATGCTTTATTTATTTTATTTTTTTTAAATTTTGAACTGGCAAGCTAAAATGATCCATCTTTTCCTGCCTTTTTTTTTTAGTAATGTTAATACAATCTAAAATCTAGCATTAAAAAATTTACCATGATACACCTGGTATATTGACTGCTTATGGTGCATGCTTGTCTTGGCAAAAAAGAAACAAACCAAATTTGCTCCCTTCCCACCCTCCCCGTTGCTTTTGGAAGCAATCTAAAAGTTGGAAGCAGGCTGGAACACAATTGCTTCAAGGGAAAAAAAAATAAACCCCAAAATAATACCTGATGCTTTGAATTTTGTCGCATGGCACTAGTTGTGGAATTGCACGCACACACACGCACACCCAACACGCACGCAAGCACACAACCTGCTCATGAGGAAAAGAGTTTATTAGGTCAGGAGTGCCAATGGCACATGAAGGCTCCCAGCTGTGTGTGCAACTTTGGATTTGGTACCCACTTCACGTCACCTTGAATCCTCTGACATCCACCGAGGGGGTAATGTAAGGCATACTTTGCTGGAACGGTAATAATCCATGCTTCATGCTCAAGAGCTGAGTCTCAGAGGAGGACTGGCTTTCTCTACTCCCTTTGGCCTCACTCCGTCTCACTCAAGGAACAAAAAACCCCAAAACAATGGAGAAGAACTGAGGGGAAACGAGGAAAGCAAAGAAGACAAATTCCTTTAAATGGACTTTCGCCTTTTCATCAGCCTGTGGTTATCTGTAAAGCTGTGCAACCCAGGTGAGATGGAGCTGACAGGAGATGGGAAAAGGCTGTTTTTTAATGTGCTTGGCGAGATCTCCTCTATCTTGTAAGAGATGGAGTGAAAGTACTGGGGGTTCAGCTTTGAGCTGAACGAATTTTGGTGGGACACCACCCGGCTGGTGTACTCATGGGACCTGTAACACATGCAGGAACAAACTGACTGAAGGTCTGTTACTTCGGCCTTGTACCGTGGCCGACCATGCTGGGAGTCCTCTTGGATGTGGATAATCATGCTGTTGCGGTTCCCTGCCAGGGATGCCCGTTCCTCAGCATCCCGCCTCTCGTCCTCGCTGTTCATGGTCAAGAACCTGAGAACAACCAGATTTAGAAATGCCCCAATGACTGTCAACCCCACTAAAATGTACATAAAGCTAAAAGCCACATAGAGAGGCTTCTTTTGAAGGGCCCCTTTGGTCTGCAGGGCCACATAGTCTCCAAACCCTATCGTAGTCAATGTTATAAAGCAGTAATAGTAAGCATGGAAAAAGCTCCACTCCTCATACTGGGAAAAAGCTGCTGCTCCAATGCAGAGTGTTCCCATGCAGGAGAAGAAACCCACAGTGACCATGTTTTCCATGGAGACCTCGGTGCTCCTCATCCCACAGCACTTTTTGATGCGTTTCAAGAGGTACTTGACAAAGGTGTTCATGCGCTCGCCCAAGCTCTGGAACATGACGAGTGTCAGTGGGATCCCCAGGACTGCGTAGAACATGCAAAAGGCCTTCCCCGCGTCCGTCCCTGGGGCAGCATGTCCATAACCTGGGAATGAAAAAACAGGACAGTCAATGATGGCCACAATTCCCACTTTGTGCAAGCCACATGAATTGCAGTGTGTCTTGTGCCACAGCCAGATCCAAAGCTACAGGACCACTGCAGTCACACAATCTTCCTATCTCCTTGCCCACATCCTGTATCCAAAGCAAGTAAGACACAGAGCAACAAAGTTGTACACAGAGGAGTGGGAAAGATGAAAGAATGGACAAGCCATCCTACTTCAAATAACTGCAGGCTCCTAAAAAAGACTGTATTGCATTCATTCACTAAAGACATTTCATGTCCATCCTGTAACACATGCAATAGTGGAAACTTTGGAAATAGATGGACTTTTCCACAATGTTCTTACAGCTGAGAATCTGACTGACAGTACCAAAGTCTCCTTGTACCTTGACAGTACCAAATGTACACCACCTGTCCATGGTGTACATTGACCACGCAGGTAACACCATCCAGATTCTCCTTGAAGTCAGTGAATAGAAATACACACTTCACAACTGCAGCTCCTCTCGTCTACACAGAGGTCAATGAGTTGTTCTAAGGAGACACCTATTTCTCTACAGTCATTATAATAGAAAGCTTGGGACAGAACTCAGTTCAAGATTAATGTATCTAAACTTTTGCATCTATGTTTGTGCCTGGTATCCAAGCTCCCATTACAGTCAACAAAGATTTAATAAAGACAGGCAGTAGTGAGTTATTTTACTGACCATCCCAAGTTTACCTTACAGCAAGATGAAATGACACTACTGACTGTTCCATTGACTGTATTCATCAGGTCCCCATCAGATTGCCTAGACATCTGTTAGCTGCAGAAAAATTTAGACACCTACTGCCCAGGTAGACAACTATATGCAAACAGCCAAATCTTTATCATGAGTAAAGCTCCACTTCAGTGACTACCTGCATTATAGACAAAGAGGGTTAAAATTAGCTTTGCAGAAAGCAGCATCTACTAGCATTTGAGACCTCTGAGATATTAGGATATTCATAGAGGGCTGGCAGATGAAAAACAGGGCATACAGAAGACTCACACTCTTACAAATCAGAGGCTGGAGACCAGACAGCACCTTAGATACTACTGAGGCAGGGCCATTCCCTTCCCCTTGTACTGCCTCAGTCCTGCCCCTCACCTTTAGACTCATGTCATGGACCTGCTGCTCTGAGTTTGTCTAATCCTTCCAATGAAGCTTTTGACACTGCCCACCTCCTCAGTCTCCTGTGGCAAGAGATTACAGAAGTTCACTACCTGCTGTATTAAAAGGTACTTCATAATTTAGAGCAATGCCCTTGTTTCAGCTAGTGCTCCTTAGCTCTAGTATCAAAGTTCTACATCTACCTTCAGTTAAACTCAGCTTTATCTCTGCTCTCACTTTTCTCCTGTCTGAACTGGAGCCACAGGCTTTTTAGTTCATATAACAGAATTCCCTTGATTGTTTCAATGTCCTTCTCTGGACCTTCTTTATCTCTATCACACCATTTCTGAGGTGCAGAAACCAGAACTTTGCATAGCCCTCAGTATGTGGATACAGTACAGAGTCTGCAGTTTTGTTAGCAGAAAAAACGTGGACACCATGCAACCTTCAGAATGAAAAGCAACAGTGGAAAAGGAAAATAAAATGAGAAAATGAGCAATAATGCCCTCCAAGAAGCAACAGGTATTTCCTTAGCTCAGTTGCTAGTTGTTGGCAGATGGATGGCGACATAGTCTAATCTGAGGCACCCCTGTCCATGGCAGGGAGGTTGGAACTGGATGATCTTAAGGTCCCTTCCAACCCTAACTATTCTATGATTCTATTATTCTATGTAAAAAGCACAAAAGACACACATAACTCAAAATAGAAAGTTCTTTTTAGGTTACAAAACAAAGAGATTCACCTGTTGTAGCAGGCCAGGTAGCCTGTTCATCATAAAAAGCAGTTTCCAAATTACCTGGAAAGTGAAGTGTCTTGAATAGATTGATGTAGGGTTTGTTCCACCTGACTGTCCCTCAATAAAGGCTATAATTGCCTCTCATTACTAAGATCAGCTTTTGAACTACAGGGGTGTTAATTAAACCAGGGACATCTTCCCATTTTACAGCTTTAGTTACAGCTGATAAAGAGAAGGGAAGCTTCAGAAAATGTGATTTTCCAGATGGTTGCAGGGATGGCAGTTGGTGGAAACAACTTTCACTTTGGGTTCTAAAGAATATGGTTGGGGTGAAAAAAGACCTTTTTCTGTATCGCTCTATCCCTGTCACTAAATATATCCACAGAGGCAGTTTAGGGAGATTATAAAACATTAATGCTCACACAACATCTCACAATTGCATTTCTAAAATTTTTTGCAGACTTTGCAATTAACTTGGGACTTACAGCTCTCCCATAAGACAGGAATATACCCAATTCGCTGCTTCACAGACAGGAAAGCACAGGCACCAGCAGGCTATAATTCACAGAAGTAGATAGAATATCCAGAGTTCTGATTTCTAGCCTGTCCCATGCCATACTCACTTTCCACGTTATCAGACAAATGCATTTTACCATATTTTCACCACGAAGCTGGGTTAAAGGAAGGACTTTATTCATGATGCTGGAATAAGACTTTGCAAATAGATTCATGTATAGGCTATCAGTCATATATTTCTCCAGTACAATATGGCTTTAAGGAATAGACACCTTAGCCATTTCCTTCAACACTCTGCAATGAGGGGCTTTAAAATACACTATAGAAAGACTTAAACCTCCATTACTTTAGCATTACAGAATCTATCCAGCAATACACAGCAATGCATGAAAAGCAAACTCCAACAGTGCACATTCTCTGAAATGCAGTAAATCTCAAATTTAAAACAAAGTACTGTCTTCTTAACATCAAAGACTGCCTCTAGGAAACATGAGGATGCCAGTCATTGCCATAGGAAGAGGGGCACCCAGGATCATTAATGCCAGGAAATAGCCCTCCACAGTGCACAGGATCAGTCTCCAAGTAGTTGGGTTTTACCTGTGTCAAGTAAAGGCAGAAGCAGAAGCCACCTGGTAGCAGATTTCAGCTAGCAAAATTCAGCCTAGCTTCCTTTACATGAATGTCTCTGCCCTTTACCAGAATATAAAGAGATGACTCCATGTGAACCATAAGAAACACATGGTTCACATAAGAAACACAAGGCTCAAAGAAAAGTAGAAAGGTTAAGCATGACATTGGTATTTCTCACTCTTCAATGGTGAAGAAGAAGGATGAGAGGACCATAAAATTAGGTATAGCAAATGCATCCCCTAAGAAGCCATGCAGCTGAGATAACAATGAGAAAAGTATAGATAGAGCTTCACATTGTACCACATCTAGGTAAATACTACCTATACTACTCTACTTTACTAACCGATTTGCTAAGTCCCACAATACAGTAATATGACCACAGCAGATGGGTTTCTCTGATATTTAATGAGACATAATCTGATTGATTGAGGACAACCTAAATAACTTTCACCTTGATTGGAAGTGGTGTCATTAGTACTCTCTCTTTTATAATACCCTCCAGCTGCTTAGGCTTTCAAGACAGATCTCATCTGGGTTGCCACCAAGCATGGTTCAGCATGGAGAAATGCCATGTCTCGGATTGTTACTCTAGTTCTGGACTGCAGAGCACCAATGCACCACAAAAGCCATCTCCTCCCAGCCACAGAAGGGCTGGGCTACAGATATCAAGCAGAACTACAGGAAGGTGGAGGCAAAGGGTCAGACTGTAAGGGCTCTCACATTGAATGAGTACCCTGTTAAGGTCTTCCCTGCCCTTGATTTTTCCAAACCTTGTCCATTCTCAGGTGGAAAACTTTCAAAGACCACATGCATCTATATGTAATTCTAGAAAGAAAGAGAATCTAAGGAAGAAGTTCTTCACAGTGAGGGTGGTGAGGCACTGGAATAGGTTGCCCAAGGAAGTTGTGAATGCTTCAACACCGGAGGTGTTCAGGGCCAGGCTGGACAGAGCCTTGGGCGACATAGTTTAGTGTGTGGTGTCCCTGCTCATGGCAGGGGGGTTGGAACTAGATGATCTTAAGGTCCTTTCCAACCCTAACTATTCTATGATTCTATAATACTATTTTCCTGTTTGCCTGAGTGTAGCTACAAAAGTCTGGAGAAAACCTACTCAGCCTCCTTCAAAGCTTATTTTTCCATGGTTTCTTTCAGATGCAACATAGAGGGAAACTCATTATAGAGTCTATGTGAGATCCATTCAGGAGGACAATCCAAATATCCTTCTCTCACTTCTAAAAGGACATTGTGCTGGGGTACCAGGCCACAACCTTAGCATGCAGTGGAACACAGTGAACATGAATCATTCCCTAGTCCCCTTCTTTGTGCCACTCATGATTTTATAGACATTTTATTAACAAAAATGCAGTGTCTGCATTCAGGCCCTAAGCAAGTATGTCTGGCAATGTATAGCATCATGTGGACAGACCAGCTTGCTTAGATCTCCATCAGTGATCTTTGCACCATGCTCAGCTGAAGGGTACAGACAGACCCATAACTTCTGACTTGTCCTCCAACAAGTTCTCTTGAATAACACTTTGCTTCTGGGGAAAAAAGGGTCTCAATAAACACTTCCATGGCATTGCAATGACACAGATTGCCCCAAATAAGTAAATCCATAATAAAAAATAAAACATTATGGGAAAAAATCCTTTCACTGTATTACATCTACATGGAACCAACTCCAACAGTGCACGGCTCTAGCAAACTACACTGGAACAAGGGATGGATTCCACCACCAACTCATGATTGTCCACATTCTTACATCATTAGCACAGTTCACCCTGGACCAACAAGCACTGACCCAGGCAAAGTCCACCCATGGAGGTTAACACTGGCCAGGGACCACTGCAGCTAAGCACCACTCTGGGGCAGTACGTGTGTTTAGCTGTTACTGGCATTCTCCATGCAATGTCTTCAAAACACAGGCCATGCTCTACTTAGTAACACAGATGGAGCCTACATGGTGCAAAGCAAAGGGTGTTTTTCTACACCAGCCTCTGTCATAGACTGCGAGAGGTTTGCCTCAGATGTGCACTGGTACCAGGCCAAATACATGATCAGTGTTAAAACATAAAAAAGAAATGTGGCAGTGGTAAGTTATTTATAGGTGGCATTCAAGCTAATGCGTAGCTGCATTGTGGCTAAGCCCCATTCATATTCACGTTCAATGTACAACAGGTTTTAGATGTCTTGAATCTTGAAGCAACACTGAGTTATTCATGAGGGATGCTTTATTTCTCTCAGGAGGAAGTTTCTCCCTTCATTCATCTACACACCATTCATCCCCATGACGGACATTTGGGCCTGGTTGTCTCTGACAACAGTCTCTGGAAAGAAATGAACTACTTACTCCATCCCTGTGACTCAAACCATTCTTACTCATGCTGGCAGCAGCCCTGGCTGTGAGATAATGAAACGGGGATAACGGCACCTGGTACTCAGATGGGCAAGCATAATTCAGACTAAAGCATCTTCCTGATGTCACACACTTCAGAGACCCATCTACGTCACAGGAACAGCCACAAAGAACAGGCTGTGTCTCCGCTGGATCTGCTGCTCGTGCTTTCAGCAGGGAGAAAAAACATGTCCTTTGAGGTACAGATGAAAGAGGTTTCAGTATGGATCAAGAAGATACTTCATCTATCTAACTGGGAGTAACTCATTTACCAGGACAAAGGCATTTTCCTATAAGGAAATGGAGAGCACATCATGGATGCTGCTGTCACATGGATGAAAGCTGCCATGTAAATACACCAGCATCCTGGCACACTACCACCACTGACTCTCCCCACGTCCTGCTGTCTTTCTCCTCAAACATCTCCAGGACCCCCTTTTCTTTCCTTCCCTGATCAGTTGATCTCACTGCAGCACACCAACTGAACAATCTCCCTTAGTTTTCCACAGCTTTCCCTTCCATCCTCAAAGACATCCTCCCCTTCCGTGCTCAAAAGACAGTCTCTAATATCAGGTCAAAGCATGGCACAGGGCTCTCTACAGGCACACACAGCAATATGGGATGACATCATCCCGTGCTTGGAGACAGGCATATCCTGTGAGAGGAAAAAAGGATGTGTCAACCCCAGGCGTAACCTCAAATCTGAAAGCCCTCAACAAGGGCAGTGCAGCCTCTCACCCTGGTTCATCCCTGTTCCATGTCCTGACTGCAGAGGTAAGGCCACGCGACCTTGGAAATTACACTCACTGCTTTCCATTGCATCAATACCTGCAGAAGATCTCCTATTCTGGGCAGCAGGGATGCAGCAGGCTCCCCTCACCTCAGTGTCCCCACCACAGACATCTTTTCTTGTTGATCTTAGAACCAAACTTTTGAGATGTTCAGGGCAAACAGCTTCAAAAGCAGCTCTGATCTGATAGGCAGACACACACACGCACACAGGCAATGTGCAGCAAGGAAATGAGAAGAAATGGCTTCTCTCTGTGATCCACTAACTCTCTTGCAGGAAAAAGCCAGCCCTGATCCATGCATATATAAGTCAGGACAAACAAGTGCCTCAGCCTCGGAAATTACCCCCACCACAATGATCTCCATAAGCTTACCAGGCACTGTCAGCAAATGGAGTGCATGACAGACCAGCAGCAGACCTGAAGGACTCATCCAAAACGACTGGTAAGATTGATAACAACTGCTGAGTCAGCACGATGCCAGCTTCTGTGCTACCCATCCCTCTGCCACGTTTCCTCACTCCCTCCTGCTCTGCAGCCATCACATATTATACGTCGGATGCCTGCCCTTGTGTGATGAGGGGACACATCTACTCAGTTCATTGGGGCAGAGTACTCGGAAGTACTGCTCATTCAGTTGTGTGCCCATCAGAAGTGTGTGCCCAGGCAGTTTCCCCCCTCCCCACCACTGGAGAGACCTGGGGGCTTCTCTGCTTCCCTGGAAAAAGCTTGTATCCCTCCTGAACTTGCCCACCAACAGGACACAGCTCCCCCATTCTGAGAGGCATTGCTTCTGCCTCACAGGGAAGCACAGATTTGGTCACAACATTTGGTCCTTTCAGATACCCATTGGGTTACTGCATGAAGAAATAAGTTTACAAGTTAAAACTAAGCCATAAGAAACTTTTCCTTTTCTAATTAGTTCTATTTCTATTCTCATTTCTTGATAATGATGAGCCACATATATCTGTATCTGTGCCCATCTGTCTTTCCTTGCCAATAGTTTTGAAGCTGCTCACCAATTTCCACCACTTAGAAGAAGCTGTAATGTAAACTTGATATTAATCTGTTCTGCTGGGCCTGCCATCTGGCCAATCTGTGAATACACATAAAAGGGCCAAAAAAAATCAAGACAGAGATAGTGCAGAGTCAGCCGCAATGCGATCAGCTCTTTACTGGCCAGTTAGAGGAAAGAAACAGGAGCTTGGGGTCTTGCAAGGTGGGTTGAGATGTAGAGGCATGGGATAGGACTGCAGGAATAGGATGCCTCAATCACCTTATCAGACAGCCCGTGGTGGAATACCTATCTGCCTGCAAGGATGAGGATGAAGATAAGGCTTCAAGAGAACTGGGGGATGTTTTGGAGTTCACAGGAATCAATATATTTCAGTTCTGCATTTCTGTTTGTTGTCTTATTTTCTTTTGCACATGAACCTTTTCATTTTTTCTATGTAAGATTTACACTATAAAGGGCTTTACTAAAAAAGCAAATGAGGGAAAGTGGAAATGTTCAAATGGTCACATGAAACCACTGACAATCTTCCTGCTCATCTATATGGCACAGAAGACCCGATTATCTCAAATCTCCTCTTGTTGAACTTAGCCAGCCTCTACTTTTACTGCTTAGATGAGAGATGCCTGTGATCACTGGCAATTCTTCTGAGTAAGATGACAGAGCATCTGAGGTAATTGCCACCTTGTGTACCACCTCCCCAGGAAACCAAAGATGCCAACACTTGCCAGTTAATTTTGTTGACATGACAACATTATGTCTACTCATCTCTGCAACTGTCTCTGCTGCAGAAAAGAGGCTGGGAAGAGGGAAGAGGTTCCTCTCCAGCTCTGTGAAGAGACTAGCACTGAAAACAGCAGTGATTTGGGCCATGTTTCTGGTATGCCATTTCCCAACTCCTCTCAAAAGCAATGGCAGCTCTGTTCTGGGTTTCCAGCTGGGCACTAGTTGATGGATTCCTGGACTGCAGCTGAACCTGGCCACCTTTCTGAAGACATCAACAGCTGTACAAATTGGCAGGTAGGCACATCACCAGGGGAGCATGTGTGCAACACAGGGACGCAGCAAGGCAGATCAGCTAATAAGCTGGATTCCTGAAACAGTGAGAAAAACAAACCTCCAAAGCCTAAAGATGAGCAGGTTGACTATGACTCCTTGGGTTCCTACATCTTCATACTAGGAGTCTGGAGCATCTCCCTTACCAGGAGAGATTGTGGGACCTGGGCCTGTTTAGTCTAGAGAGAAGACTAGAGGAAGTCCCATCAATGCAGATCAATATCCCAAAGGCAGGTGCCAGGAGGATGGTGCCAGACTCTTTTCAGTGACAGGATGAGAAGCAATGGCCATAAACTAAACCACAAGAAGTTTCACCTCAACATAAGTAATAACTTCTTTACACTGAGGGTAGCAGAGCACTGGCACAGGCTGCCCAGGTGTGTAGTGGAGTCTCCCTCTCTGGAGACATTCAAATCCCACCATGGACATGTTCCTGTGTAACCTGCTCTGGGTGGCCGTGCCTTGGCAGGGGGTTGGACTGGGTGATCTCCAGAGGTCCCTTCCTACCCTAATGATTCTGTGGCCTTGGGAGCTTTCAGGTTTTCTGGAGCCTGCACACTACTAGTTCAGCACTGTGAGCCTTTGCATGTTTTATATCTCTTGGGCACTGAGATACCTGACTGTGCAAAGCCCTGTAGCACTTCCAAATCAACATTTTCCCATGCTATCTATTTCTGACTGCCCCTGCATGCCTTTCTTCTCTATCCCCTTTATCCTCTCCATTTTGTTCTCCAAAACGTCAGAGGACTGACCTAAGGCTCACATCACATCTAGTCCCAAGACAAATCATGCCCAGAACAAGTTCTCAATCTGAAGAGGATCGTAGCAACCACTAGGAAAAGACTTATCAGGTCGCATTATCCATTCCCGGGGGCTGGCATATGATTGTTCCCCACAATATATTCTCCAGGGCTTTGTCCAGTTTTGTTTAAATGATTGAAATAACAGGGTTTCTTCTCCCTCCCTTAGGAAATTATTCCCTGTCTAGCAGATTCAGCTATTAGGAAGGTTTTTTAGATAGCCTGCACTTTTCTGGGCTGCCTTTTATCACAGTGTTCTTTTATAGCCCTCAATCCAACACACCCCATTTCTCTCCATCATTACTCGCTTCTTTACTCTTCTTGGAGATAGTCACAGCTTTATCCCTTAGTCAACATTAGCTATAAACAGAGCTGTCTGAGGCAAAGTCCTGTAGCAAGGAAGACAATAGGTGTTTTACAACATACAGCTAGATTGAGATTTTAAATGTCTCTTCAGAAGCAGCTCCTTACGTGATCATTTCTGTTGTGCTTATCTGTAATCCCTCTTGCTCTTAAGAAACTTTCAGGGTCTTTGCTAGAGTTTGGCACAGTCCTTATAGATGCAGGACTATGCTAGTAGTTATCAGTTCTCTGGACTGCTGAATATCCTCTTTGGGTACATAGGTCTGAATAGGTCTGAATGGTCATCACTATAACATTATGTCCTCACTGTATAGCAAACTTTTCCTGATGCGGCCATTCATTACATCCCAAAGGCTCCTTCTACCACTGGTATGTGATTGCACTAAGCATTATTTTTCCCCAATCCCCTCTATAAATGGCCATAAATGGCCTTCTTGGGAAATTTTTATAGCATTCTGTAACTGATTTTGGTTGCTCCCAGTTT